ACACAGACACTCCCACACAAAATCCTCCCCTCTGCCTGTGATACAATTACCTTACACAATGGGTAATCTAATTATCACAGACAGAGAAATACAGTTTTATAAAACACATCACAGGGAACCCAAAACATACAATAACCCCATAAAAAGTATATCCTTGGAACCGGGGTGAACCACATATCCAAAATTCACCCAGATCCATTCAGTACTTTGGAAGATACAGTTTAATGCAGATTCTGCAGAACATATACAGTCTAAATGAAAAACAATCACTGTATAATGTGTCCCCTGCTGTATAGTCTAAAACCACTGCACGATGTCTCTGTGCACCAAATACTGACGAGATGGCACCGTGTTGAAAAGTCCAAACAGTGTCTGTGAGTTAAAATGGCCGCCATCCATTGTTCTCACCATGTGCTTCATCCATTGTTTTCACCATGTGCCTCTGATACAGGAAATGGTGGCCACCCAGTAACTCCAAAGTATGTCCCCAGATGGTTCTTAAAGGGCCAGCAGCAGCACAACACAAATCCCTTATGCCCAAATCATGTCTTTAAAGGGCAATACATCCCAGGGGCCATAGTCACATGGCAGGAGGCTGGCAATCAGTCTTCTCCAATGCCCAGTGGCGAGGTCGGTTTTGCCACAATGGATTTTTATTGTGCTGCTGCTGGTCCTTTAACTCCTAGAAAAACCAACATTTCGACCTAACAAGAGGTCTTTGTCAAGCTTTCACATTTGGAGTGCCTGTGAATTTTTCTTATTGCCTACTGTTCTTTTATAGGCATGTCTATCATGACAAATACACAAAAATAAGTCCTACAGTCAGACTTTTGCACTGGCAGCAATGACCATAGTACACACCATACCTAATACATACAATCATAACCAAAGAAAAAAAGTTATTTGCGCACTATTCCAAATATCTAAGCATGTTTAAATAAGTGGAGATTTTAGTCCAGCTCCAATGGCCATTAGATGTAAGCCCACCTGCTGCGTCAAGGCAAAGCTCTTAGGTGGGTCCTTCACTAACAATTCACCTTGCTTGCTTCAGCTTCAGACAAATAAATCTCTACTGAGACATTTTGACATCAGAACTTTTAAAGGACCACTCTAGGCACCCAGACCACATCAGCTTAATGAAGTGGTCTGGGTGCCAGGTCCTTCTAGGGTTAACCCATTTTTTAATAAACATAGCAGTTTCAGAGAAACTGCTATGTTTATTAATGGGTTAAGCCTTCCTCCAATTCCTCTAGTGGCTGTCTCATTGACAGCCACTAGAGGCGCTTGCGTGCTTCTCACTGTGATTTTCACGGTGAGAGCACGCAAGCGTCCATAGGAAAGCATTGTAAATGCTTTCCTATGCGACGGGCTGAATGCGCGCGCAGCTCTTGCCGCGCGTGCGCATTCAGCCCAGGAGGAGGAACGGAGGAGGAGAGAAGGAGGAGAGCTCTCCGCCCAGCGCTGGAAAAAGGTAAGTTTTTAACCCTTTCTCCCTTCCAGAGCCAGGCGGGAGGGGGTCCCTGAGGGTGGGGGCACCCTCAGGGCACTATAGTGCCAGGAAAACGAGTATGTTTTCCTGGCACTATAGTGGTCCTTTAAGTAAATCTCTGTCCATACAAGGACACACATGATGAACCTCAACCCTCAATCCAAAAATTCCAGACTTCTCATGGTACAGCATAAAAACCTACCATCTGTTATATTTAACACGTTAGACATCCATACCTAATATGAATATGAATCGAAAGACAGAATAACTAATATTGTATAGGATGCAAATTAATAGAGAAAAAAGTATTAAATATAAAAAAAAAAGATGAGTGGAAAATTGTAGACCTGTTTTTACATAGAGAGTTCAAGTTCTAATTAAAAAAACATTAGCCAATATTTATTTCACCTTTTTTTACTATTATATGGCCTGAAAGAGTTGGGGACTAAACAATTCATAGAGCTTTATACAGTATAGCATGACAAAATAAAATATTAAGTCTCAAGATTTAGAAAACAAGTTTATAAACAAAATCATTTGTATTAAATATAATTGAAAAACAAAGAGATGAAACAATATATCTATTGCTGAAGCAAACATGTAGTCTACTTGATATCTTTTAGAACTGTGGAATGTGATATGTGCTAAGAACAGGCAGCTCACCAGTGTTATCTTGAAAATATATACTATATCTGATATTAGAAAGAAAGGCTGGTGAGTAAGATATTAAAAGTATGTTGTTATCCTCATTCACGGTACAAATTATTCTTTTTTGGGGGAGGAGGAGGGGGACACATTTTTATCTCTTTAGTAATTGTGTCAAGTCTAATATTTTTAGTCATGTGAAAACAAACTTGAAGTTTAATGGTCCATAGTTAATGTCCTCATTACTAGACTGTAAAGTTCGAGTTCGTACCGAACATTGCGGTTTTTGGACCCGGGACCCGAACACGGACATATCAGTGTATGTTCGGGTTGGAGTTCGGTGTTCGGCGATTTAATGGCGCATTTTGAAAGGCTGCATGGCAGCCAATCAACAAGTGTTTGACTTGTGTGCCTACTAATAGCATGGCTGTGATTGGCCAGTGCAGCATGTGACCCAGCCTCTATATATAAGCTGGAGTCACTTAGTGCCGCACGCACACATACTCTTATTGGTGTATGGAGAGGATGCCGCAGCTGTGAGGGACAGATTAGGAAAGAATTCTGGTGCTGAATCTGCAAACTACAGCAATTATTTGTGTGGGTGCTATAATATTAAATTTTTGTACCCTGCCCTGAGCCCAGTGCCACAGAAAGTGCAGTGCACTTGCAACTGCATGTGTGCCAGGCACATTACTTTAATCCTATTCTGGTAGCTCAGTGGGCAACATCTAGGCATTTTTAAATACTGCAATTTTTTACATTTGGGGCCTGCACTTTATATCTAAGAGTCAAATAGAAACCGTCAAATACTGCTGTGACGTTTTAAAAATTATTTTTTTGGGTGCTAAATAGTACATTTGGGGTGTGCACTTCATATCTGGTGTATGTGTGCAACACTGGCTAGTTACCGCTTCTCAAGAAAGTCTAAAGACTTTTTAAAAAAGTGAAAAATAGGTGTTATTGTGATCGTCATATACAGAAGCATTAATTTACATTTCTATATTGTGTAAAGACACAACTACAAAGTTAAAAACCAAACACCAAAACAACATGCCAGACAATCTACCTGTGCATGGCTAGCGTGATACAATAAGTCTACATCTTAAAAAGGCAATAACCCACAGAAGATGGGCAAGATTTTTTTTTTGCAACTGGAACTTTGATTCGAATTCACTACATCGGTCACTTGTAATATTGTTACATACCTACAACACTTGTTAAACAGATCTAAGTGATAGAAAACTGATTGATATTTTCTACACTAGGAACTACTAGATAACAAGCTGCTATATTTAAACTAGTAATCAATAGCTAAGAGGTACTTCACCAATATTGTAATTCTGGGGCAATACCCTCACAAGTCAAACGGAGAGGTCAGTTTATAGGGAAAACTGTAGCCTGAATACAATTCTAAAACAATTCCCATATGTCATTTGCAGAGTTTACATGCTGGAAAAACACAGGTGTCAACTGCTGTGGCTTTCTGCAGTGTGCAGACCGGCAAGGAAGGCAGGGTTGGGGAGTGGGTGGAAGATGATGTGTGCTAATCTGCTAAATAGTAAATTTTGTGGCCTGCTATTCATATCTGAAAGTCAAATCAAAGCGTCTAATAGTGTGCTTACAGCGCAGTTGTAAAAATTCTAATTTTCTGGGTGCTAATCTGCTAAATAGTACATTTTGGGGCCTGCAGTGCACTTCATATCTGAGAGTCAAATCGAAGCTTCTAATAGTGTGCTTACAGCGCAGTTGTAAACATTCTAATTGTTTTTCTGCTAATCTGCTAAATAGTACCTTTGCAGCCTGCGGTGTACTTCATATCTGAGAGTCAAATAGAAGCGTCAAATAGCGCGCTTACTGCGCTACCTGTAAGGCGGACTAGGCAGCCGCCTAGGGCGCCCCTTGGGAGGGGGCGCCGCCAGGAGCGCCGGCCCCGCTTATCCTGCAGCCGCCCGAGCGCTCTGTATTGAGCCTCAGGCGGCTGCAGCTTTGCCCGGGCGGTGCGTCCATGAGGGCGGACCGCACCGCCCGGGCGCAGCCTGAGGAGAGGCTGACAGGAGGGAACGCTCAGCGCTCTCTCCTGTCAGCTCCCTCTCTGTAGCGTGGCCGAGCCCTCTATGGCATGGTCCGACCGGTACAGAGAGCAGCTGTCTCCTGTACCCGGCCGGACTAACAGGAAGTGCACACTCTGTGTTCACTTCCTGTTAGTCCGGCCGGGTACAGGAAACAACAGCTCCCTGTACCGGTCGGACTATACTGGGCTCGGCCACACTACCACACAGGTAGGGGAGGGAGGGAGAAGAAAAAAAAAAGAGAGGGAGGGAGGGGGAGAAGAAAGAAACAGGGAGGGAGGGGGGAGAAGAAAGAAACAGGGAGGGAGGGAGAGAAGAAAGAAACAGAGAAGGAGGGAGGGGAGAAGAAAGAAACAGAGAGAGAGGGAGGGGGAGAAGAAAAAAAAGAGGGAGAAGAAAGAAACAGAGGGAGGGAGGGGGAGAAAGAAACAGGGAGGGAGAGAGGGGGGAGAAGGAAACAGAGGGAGGGGGAAGAAAGAAACAGGGAGGGAGGGGGAAAAAAGAGGGAGGGAGGGGGGAGAAGGAAACAGGGAGGGAGGGGGAGAAGGAAACAGGGAAGGAGGGGGAAGAAAGAAACAGGGAGGGGGAAGAAAGAAACATGGAGGGGAGGGGAGGGGAGGGGGGAAGAAAGAAACTGACAGGGGAGGGGGGAGAAATAAACTAACAGGGAGGTGGGGGGGAAAGAAACTAACAGGGGGGGAGACATTGACAGGGAGGGGAATTGATGGGGAGAGAGAAATTGACAGGGAGGGGGGAGTGACAGGGGAGGGAGGGGGAATGAGAGTAACAAGGGAGGGGGGGAGAAGAGAGTGACAAGGGAGGGGGGAGAGATTGACATCCATCACACACACACACACACAATCACACACAATGCACCCCTTACACACAAAGACAATGAACCCCTTGCACACAGAAAAACACACAATGCATTACACACACAATGCATTACATACACACACACACGCAATGCAACCCTTACACACAATGCATCCCTTGCACACACAGAAACACACAATGCATTCCTTACACACACTCAATGCACCCCTTACAGACTCACACAGCATCCCTTACATACACAGAAACACACCTTGCAGCCCTTACACATACAAACACAGATTCACACAATGCATTCCTTACACACAAATCAGGACATCCCCTACACACTCCATCCCCTGTGAACAAACTCATTGGTGGAAAATGAAGGTGGACCCTGGGACCCAGACCTTGAGCTGTGTAAAGGGCCCCCAAAAAATGGAGCTGCTTCTCGTTCTCCCAGAACATTGATTTGTGTGACCACAGTTACAAACAGCATCCAGAGATCCTGTTGTACACCAGACCAGTGGAGCCAGACTGCAGCTAGAACCCATCATCATCCTCATCTGCTTGTAAGTAGGTAATCTAGTATATTATTCGTGGCACTAATCTCTAATTTACCTCACCTTAATGTAGTGGTCCTGGTGTCTATAGCCTGTCCCTGCAGGCCTTTTAATGTAAACACAGCGGCACTGCAGCACTAGCGTTAGTTAACATGGCAGGTCATATGGGTGGGGCATTGCGATGTCACTGGGTGTGGAGGGGGTCGGCAAACTTTACTTTTGCCTAGGGCGGCAAAAATCCTTGCACCGGCCCTGTGCGCAGTTGTAAACATTCAAATTGTTTTGCTGCTAATCTGCTGCTTACATTGGAGTTTTAAAAAGTCAGTTTTTTTTTGGTGCTAAATAGAATATTTGGGGTGTTTACTTCATATATGAGAGTCAAATCGAAGCATAACTTTGATTCTAATTTACTACATCGGTCACTTGTAATATTGTTTCACACCTACAACACTTGTTAAACAGATCTAAGTAATAGAAAACAGATTGATATTTTCTACACTAGAAACTACCAGATAACAAGCTGCTATAAGGATTCTTGGGCTTAAAGGACCACTCTAGGCACCCAGACCACTTCAGCTTAATGAAGTGGTCTGGGTGCCAGGTCCTTCTAGGGTTAACCCATTTTTTTATAAACATAGCAGTTTCAGAGAAACTGCTATGTTTATTAATGGGTTAAGCCTTCCCCCTAATCCTCTAGTGGCTGTCTCATTGACAGCCACCAGAGGCGCTTGCGTGCTTCTCACTGTGATTGCTTTCCTATGCGATGGGCTGAATGCGCGCGCAGCTCTTGCCGCGTGTGCGCATTCAGCCCAGGAGGAGGAACGGAGGAGGAGAGGAGGCAGAGAGCTCCCCGCCCAGCACTGGAAAAAGGTAAGTTTAACCCCTTTTCCCCTTTCCAGAGCCGGGCGGGAGGGGGTCTCTGAGGGTGGGGGCACCCTCAGGGCACTATAGTGCCAGGAAAACGAGTATGTTTTCCTGGCACTATAGTGGTCCTTTAAGGATAGAGGACAACGAGTTGTCATTAATGGTAAATTGTCAGGCTGGTGTCCCTCAGGTTTCTGTTTTGGAACCGCTTCTATTTAACATATTTATAAATGATCATGAAAAAGGCATTGAAAGCCATGCATCAGTGTTTGCAGATGACACAAAACTTTGTAAAGTAATACAATGTGAGCAAGATATTGCTTTGCTGCAGAGGGATTTGGATAGATTGGGAGATTGGGCACTAAAATGGCAGATAAAATTTAACGTAGAGAAGTTAGAGAAGTTAAGTTATGCACTTTGGGGTTAAGAATGCACAAGCAATTTACACCCTAAATGGTAGTAAACTAGGGATAACCTGTCAGGATTACAGAATGATCCAGCACGTAGAACTGTGTAACACAGAGGACTGATAGGTAACGTATACCGGACCTTAGAATGGCCGGACTAATGTACCAAAGAATAGTCAGGAATAGCCGAGGTCAAGGGAAACAGAAAGAGACGATAAGGAAAAGCCAGGAGTCAGGGATGCCAGAAAACAGGGAAGTCAAAAACAATGCCAAAGTCAAATAACCAGAATAACCAGAATCAATTACACACTCTCGGACAACCACAAGGGAAACCACGACAGGGCACTGAGCAGGATGAGAACTGAGCCTAAATACCCCTCCTCTAGGTCTGATAGGCTGTAAACGGCCTTTGCAGTTACCAGATCTCATTTGCATAATTGCTGCTCCTTCTGTGGATTTGGTTGTTGCTCGGCACAACTTTTCCTGTGTGGACAGTAAATGTCATTAACCACATTTTTGTAAACGGATGAATAAGTGACATTACCCCCCACCTGAAGAACGCCCACCGGGTGGGCAGGACCAGGTTTGAGAGTAAATTTGGCGTGAAAATAGCGAATCTTGCGGCCAGCATGTACATCAGATGCCGGAACCCAAGAACGATCGGCTGGTCCATAACCTTTCCAATCCACCAAGTACTGTAAAGTGCCCCGAGAAAACCTGGAATCAATTATGGAGGAGACCTCATACTCATCCTGTCCAGAAACAACTAAAGGAGGAGGAGGGACACTTGCGACAGTATATTTATTGCAAACAAGAGGTTTGAGCAAGGACACATGAAAGGTATTAGGAATTTTCAAGGAGGGCGGAAGGCCCAGAGAGTACGCAACAGGATTGATCCTACGAAGGACACGAAAAGGTCCAAGGAACTTAGGAGCAAATTTCATGCTAGGGACTTTGAGCCTGATGTTACGAGAAGATAACCAAACCCTCACACCCACTTCGTAAACAGGGTTGGCACCTCGACATTTATCAGCAAAATGCTTGAAACGGTCAGCAGTAGTACCCAGAGCAGATTGAACTTTAACCCAGGTATCACGGATGGAAGCCAGACGGTCATCCAAAGCAGGAATAGCCGTGTCAGAAAAAACTGCGGGTAGGACAGTAGGATGCCGGCCATTATTAACAAAAAATGGACTGTGCCCAGAGGAGTCATGGTCAGCATTGTTCCTAGCAAACTCGGCCCATGGTAATAATTCGGACCAATTGTCTTGAGTGCTATTAACGAAACAATGCAAGTATAACTCCAAAGACTGGTTAGCCCTCTCAGCTGTACCATTAGTCTGGGGGTGGTAAGAGGATGAAAAAGACAATTCAATCCCCAATTGCTTATTGAAAACCCTCCAAAACTGGGATACAAACTGAGAACCTCTATCAGATACAATATTGTGAGGAATGCCATGCAGACGGACAATCTCATGTATAAATATCAGTACCAGGTCTTGAGATGACGGTAATTTCTTGAGAGGGATGAAGTCAGACATTTTAGAAAAACGGTCAACAACCATGAGAATAGTGGTATAATCATTAGAACTAGGAAGTTCTACAATGAAATCCATAGACAAGTGGGACCATGGGACCTGAGGAACGGGAAGAGGTTGTAACAAGCCACAAGGGAGTTTATGAGGTACTTTGGAAAACACACAAACCGAACAAGCCTGCCCATACTCCTTAACATCCTTCCTGAGGGAATCTCACCAGAATGACCTCATGATAGCAGAAGTGGATTTATTAATACCTGGGTGACCAGCAGACACATTGTTGTGAAACACCTTCATGATATTAACCCTTTCCCCCAATGGAACGAACAATTTGTCCTGAGATTTACCACAGGGCGCCTGAGACTGAGCCTCCATGATGGAGCCAAGCAGCAGAGAGGACAATGAAAGGATAGTGGAAGCAATGATACATTCTGGGGAAATGATATGGGACTTTTCTTGCTCTTGTATAGAATCAGTATCAAACTGTCTGGATAAGGCGTCAGCCTTGACATTTTTAGAACCAGGTCTATAAGTAATAAGAAAATTGAAGCGAGAAAGGAACAGAGACCAATTAGCTTGACTAGAAGACAATCGTTTAGCATCTCCTATGTAAGCCAGGTTTTTGTGATCTAAAAGATGTTGCCACTCCTTGAGAGCTAGAATAATGGCCAACAATTCCCTATTGACAATATCATAATTGCGCTCGGCAGGCGCAACTTTCTAGAGAAGTAACCACAAGGATGCAATGGAGTATCCTGGCTCTCCCTCTGGGAGAGAACTGCCTCTACACCTGTCTCTGATGCTTCAACTTCTAGTATGAAAGGTTTACTGGGGTCAGGATGTATCAATATGTCAGCAGAGGCAAACCGCTGTTCGAGAGTTTCAAAGGCTTCTATAGCCTCCTTAGACCATATAGTACTGCTAAACCCCCTTGCGTGTCATATTGGTGATGGGGGCTATTACTGAAGAAAATCCCTTTATAAATCTTCTGTAATAATTGGCAAAACCAATGAACCTTTGAATGGCTTTCAACCCAGTGGGTAAAGGCCATTGTAGAACCGATTCCAGCTTTTTAGGATCCATCTGAAACCCTGAGGCAGAGATATTATATCCCAAAAACTGTACTTCAGATTGGTCAAAGATGCATTTTTCTAACTTACAATAAAGCTGATTCTTTAACAAGGTCTGCAGAACTTGTCTAATGTGATCATGGTGAGTTTGAATGTCAGGAGACTAAATAAGGATATCATCCAGATAGACCAAGACAAACGAGTAAATGTAATCCCTGAGTATATAATTTATGAAATCTTGGAAAACCGCTGGAGGATTGCACAACCCGAATGGCATCACTAGATATTCATAGTGTCCACTTCTGGTATTAAATGCAGTCTTCCACTTGTGGTTTTCCTTGATTCTCACTAAATTGTAAGCACTTCTAAGATCAAGCTTAGTAAATACTTTAGCACCTTGGAGTCTATCAAATAATTCAGCAATAAGAGGAATGGGGTAGGCGTTCTTCATGGTGATTTTGTTCAATGCCCTGTAATCGATACATGGGCACAACTCACCATCGTTTTTAGATACAAAAAAGAATCCTGCCCCAGCAGGCGAAACAATGAATCCTTAATATATTCCTCCATTACTCACCTCTCCTGAGGTGACAGAGCATAGACTGCTCCCTTAGGTGGCATAGCGCCTGGTAGTAAATTAATACAACAGTCATAAGGTCTGGGAGGAGGTAGAGTATTTGACTGAGTTTTGCTGAATATTTCTTTAATGTCTTGGTACTGTATAGGGATTTCCGGGTTTTGAGGTGTACTAGTGGGTAATCCAATAGTGCCCACTCTTTTGACAAGATTCAATATACACCTTTCATAACAATCCTTACCCCATTCCATTAGCCCAGTTAATATGAGGGTTATGCTTGTTAAGCCATGGAAAGCCTAATATGATCGGACAGGAAGGGGATGCAATAACCTGAAATGCAATCTCTTCCTTATGTAAGGCACCAATGGACACATTAATGGGTAAGGTTTCGAGTGTAATCAATGGTTGTGAGAGTGGTCTCCCATCAATAGCTTCAA